CATATTATTTAAAAAAAAATAAAGACATAAAAATTTTAAATATATGGAATAATATTTAAATGAAAATAATAATAAATAATAAAATATAATAAAATATTTTAATAAAGAATTAAATTATTGAAAATATATTTATATAACTGATGTTTTATAAAAAATAATTTTTAAAAATATTTTATAATATAAAAATAATTTTCTATAAATGAAATAATAGAAGAAATTTGAAAATTATATAAGTTATTATTTTTAATAAAATTTTATATTCTTTTATTCATAATGATAAAACGATAGCATTTGTTGCAAATAAATTTAATATATTAAATTATTCAGTATAGTAAAATTATGAATTTTTGATCAATTAAATTGTATATTTATTTATTTATATTATGTGTTCATATCAAACATTAGTTTTTAATTAAATGTTTTTCTATTATGAAATATAAAAATATGTTAATATTATAGCACAAATATTTTCATAAATTGAATATTTTAATTGAATATTTTATATTACATTGAAGATATTTATAATACATTTATAATATTGATTAAAAATTAAAATAAATATATTATTAAAAACTAAAAAATATATAAAAATTATGAAGATCAATGTCATTATTTTATATATAAAAAATTATTTATATTATACAAACTTCCTTTAAATAAACAATTTTTTCATAGGTTTAATTTCTCAATTATTTATTTTGTATTTTACAATTTTTTTGAAATATTTTAAAAATTTTTAATTTTACGTTTAATTTGTCAAATTCTTTATTTGCTAATTGAAAATAACTAATACTAAGACTAATTGAATGAAAAGTAAAATATGAATAATCAGCCACAATAGAAAAAAAAAGAAAAAAAATAGATTGATATAATATAATTGAAGGGGCACCTTTTTCACCTTGTTGCTGGATTCCTTGAGACTCTGAGGGGACGAGGGAGAATTTTTGGCTGTCTTCTGTGGACTTGTCGCAGATTGTGTGGAAGTGGTAACATCACAATCAGAAGGCGTTGATTGTATAACGGAAACTATAGGAGGAGGTGAAATAGAAGCAGAAGCGGAAGTGGATACACAAGTGGAAGTCGAAGCTAATGGTTCCGAAGGTATTAATGAATTCTCTACTGGAACGACACTTAGACTTTTTGGGGGGGTTTGCTTAGGAGTTGATAGTTTTCCACTCATCGGTGGTAACATTGTCCTAGTTTTAGGCTTCCTCCACCCCTATGTAACACCAATTATATTTATCATGTTAATCTATTTAATCTTAAAATAAAATACCATACACAAATCATGCATTACCTATTTAAATTCTTCTTTTTTTATTTATTTTAATCCTTTATCTAGTTTTATTTTGAATTTAATTTGAAATTAATTTTTATGTATTATGTATAATATTCTTTTCATATAACTTCTAAATATTATATATCTTTTATATGAAGATAATACTAAAAATAATATCATTAATAAATACATAATATAAAATAAATAATATAAAATAATAAAATACATAGATAATAAAAATTTATAAAAATAAAGATTAATTATTAATAAATATGGGATTTATTTTTTTGATCTTGATTTATGTTGTTAAGATCAATTTGCTCATTAATTTTTTTCAAAAGAATTTAATCATTAATTATTATTAAAAAAATTATTATTAATAAATAAAATTAAGAACATTTGACATATGTTTAATTTTAATATTTCTAATGTTTAGAATGATTTAATTTGAATTGATGTATTATACTATATGCATATATATAATGTATTATACTATATGCATATATGAATTGCAAATTCGTGCCATCTTTTATGATATATTTATATTCCAATATCAACAGCTCTTTTCATTCATAAATCAATTTTTCGAAGTTTATTATAAATAGAAGATTTTTTATAAAATTTTAAATAAATTCCAAAAAAATTAGAAATAAAAACATTTGAATTTATAAAATTTAAAAATTTCAGTTTTTCGATTTCAATTTCTCTGTTATAAAACAAAAATGACTTTCAAAACAATAAAATTGAATATAAAACTATAGACTATAGATTTCGCGTTCTAAATCGAGCCAAATAGAATACTACATGAAGTATATAAATTTATTTTTTTCATAAAATTATAACAGTTCAAAAATCAATAATTTTTTGATTAAAATTTAATGATTTTTTTAATTTCTTGATATAATATAATTAAATGAATTTAAATTTGATGTATTACTACAATTAATTGCTAACTGATAACCTTACAATAGCTTTATTATAATCAAATTATAATCAAATATAAAAAATTTAAATTAAATCCAAACATTAAAAATATGATATATAAAATTATATATATGTTAAACAATAACAAGTTAAGCATATATTAAACAATTTTATTTATTAATAATTTTAAACACTGAATGTTAAGTTTTTCTGAAAGTCACTCAAAAAAATGATTTTAACAATATATACCAAAACTATTGAAAAAATATTTATACAAGTTGTTTTGCTAATATTAATAAATAACTAAAATTTTCTAAAAATTACAAGAGAAAAATGTTAACAATATATCAAAATATGGTAATTTCTCTAAATCATTTACTTTTTTTAATGAATGAAAGTTATTTAGAATTTCAATATTATAAAATATATAATATGATATTTAAACATAGTACATAAAAAATTTAGGAAGTTATTTTAATTAAAAGAAATTAAAAAAATTGACATGTAAAATTATCCATTAAAAGTTATATAAAGTTATTTATAGTTTAAAGTTTATCT